TTGTAAACAACAATTTACACCTTGTATTGTACGTGAAAGTTTTTCTGTAGCTGAAAATATTAAGTGGCCCAATTTTAATCCAAAAAAGAAATTAAAATTATTCATTTGACCATAAAGACCGTTAGCTTTTATACCAGGACCACCTTTTTCTTCAGCAAGTGAATATAAAGCTTCTTGAACTGAAAGATAATATAAATATTTGGATTTTTGAATAATATATCAGAAGAAAAATGAATAAATTATATATAATGAAATGCTATATTACCGGGTTCATAATTTTTTAATAATGAATTATATGATTCAGCACGCATAGTCCATCGCATTGGACATAAGGGCGTCAGATTTGAATAAGACATCGATAATTGATTGAATATTTCTTTTAAAATAGCAAGACGTTTTGGTGATCAACGAACAAAATCAATTATTTCTTTCACAAATGATATACAAGTACTAATTGTAGCACACTGATTAGTTAAATCATGTACAGCTAAATCTAAACAATGAGCTATACAATGCACATACATAGCTTTTGGCTGTTGATTCAAAATTAAAGCCGATACACCACCATAAATTCCGGACATATTCGACGCACCGTCGTAGCCTTGACCACGACAATCGAGAACATTTAAACCACACCGGGTTAATACATCACGAATTGCTTCAACAATTGTTGGAGCATCTTGTCGAGATAATTCATAAAGTCCAAGAATATCTTCAAATATTTCATAATTATCATCTACAGATCGAATATCAATACATAATTGTTCAAGTGTTGATTCATCACATGTTTCATCGCATATTAAGGAAAACCATTTTCTGTTGGAAATCTGAATAGAATAACAAAAGTATTTTTAACTTCATATGACACTCAAAAAACAATGCCATAGCAATTCAGAGCAGAAATCTAGAGACATTTCAACTTTTTTTTTCATTTTTTAGAATTTATAGATAACATAATCATTTTTTATCGAATGTAATAGATAAATTTTATTGCACAATGTTAGTGCTTCATTCCATATTATTAGTTATTAAAGTAACAAAAATTACTGTAAATCTGCAAAGAAAATCTTAGGAGAAACCAGTTTCCTGTTTCATTCTTTAAGAAAAAAAATCTGGTATGTTCTGGAAAGATGATTCGTTAGACGCTACACGATAGTTCTAGGTAGTTTTCTCAATCAAACAAAGCTATACGTACTTCTGTTACAATATCTCGAATAATGAGTAAATAAATTTCTTTACAAAGTTCATTGATTATATCATGGGATAAATATTTCTTGTCGTTGATCCATTCTGTTAAAAAATCATTATCAATACTTCGAAGTTTTAACAGTTGAATCAAATTGCTTTCGATATCAGAATGCCCTCTAAGTGCAAGACCTTGTCGGAGTAAATATACAATACATGAAATTTGTATTGAAAGAGCTTTTCGACGTTGTTCTTGTTGTCTTTTGGTTGCTGATATTAATTGAGCTGTTATAGTTGGTTTTGTTTGTTGATCAACAACATAAATTGAAGTAGCATGCGTTTTAGTTGACTCATGAAGTTTAAATCTTGACCTGGCATTCTTCCAGTCACAAAAACCTTCTGTTACAAAACTTCTATAAGTAGGATGTAATGTTGTATTTGGATGAATTTCACGTTCAAATGCAACTCGACATGGATAACAAAAAACTTTTTTTTTAACCTCAAATAAAAAAAAATTATATTTTATAAATAAATTTTGATTTTGATTGTATTTGTTTTACACGAAAACTCACTTTGCAGAATGTTAACCAAGTATGATCCAGAAACCATTGTTTTTGACATGATCGTTTATCAATTATTGTTAAGACTAATTCATCATCTCTAACAGAATGATATGGCGTAGACGAATTGCAGCAGTATAAATCACATTTAGACATAAGAATTACGCTTTGAGTAGATAGGTTAGATGTAGATAAATTTGTTGTTTGTGTTGATGATATTTGGTTATTTTCATTGGGTGATCTATCAGAATTATCAAAAATTTCAGGTCGGTTTTCAGATTCATCATTATTTTCCAATAAATTATTCGTATTAGACAAATGTAATGGGTTAACAAGAGGAGTAGTTTGAGTCACAAAAGGTGCTTCAAGAGCTTCATCTCCAGAACTTGTTGAAAGATCAGTTAAATCAGTTAAAGCAATTCCTTCTGTAGATACAGATCTTGTTGTACTTTTTACTTTTTTAGTAAAATATTCCAAAATTCATCCAACACATCGTTTTGATGCCATTACTGTTTATAATCTAAACTATTAATTTTATGACTATGATCAAAAGAAAGTACTGTTTATCTGTTTAATATTTATATAAACATGAAATCATATTTTTCTTAGCAAGACTAATATGATAATCTTCTAACGCACTAGTTAAATCATGACTTTATAGCATTCAAAACATATGAAAGCTAGACATTTAGATAAGTATGCAAATAAACTCATTTTATACTGTATTTTAGCTGATATATTCACTGACATTTTAAACAATTACTATGGATGAATTTCACTGAATCCATTAAAAAGAATAAGAACACACTCTAATATAACTAGTTTTGATGCCTTTTGATCTGATAATTCTACAATTAGTCTAGTACACACAACTTTACGTAAATGAGATAAAACATGTCGCTATGAACCATAAGGACATAGTTAGTGGGTTTATTATTCTCTGAATGTCTTGGTTTTCTTTATCACAACATATAAATAAATATATTAGAAGTTCGAATCTTTGGACTGAAATAATATTCATTTGATAAGTCTAAACCATCGTGCAAAAAAATACCGAAAACATAATTTGGGTGAGGCTAAGCCTCCAGCCGCCAAATTCGGGTGAGGCTCATGTCTCACCCAGCCTCCAGCTTCCGCCGCCTATGCTAAGGGTACCTTCATATAAGAGCACATAAGGACCCAAGGCTACTTCCATAAATAAAATATAGATCGGTCAAGCATATACCCAGTGGCACTGCTACCCAGTTTCAGTCCCAGAACTGGCACCGCTGGATGCTAGTGGATATCCTGGGAGTACGATGGGAATCCTGGGAGTGCAATGGGAATCACGGGAGTACAATGGGAATCCCGGGAGTACAATGGGAATCCTGGGAGTACGATGGGAATCTCGGGAGTACGAAATCCGCCGTTTCCCCCTTGGGTTTATCTCTCCCGAATTATTTTCTGATTGAAATGATTGATAAGATAATTTGCCTAAAACTGTTGGGTATTGGACTATAAACTTCCGTTCTGATACGGGCAATTGTTTTTCTCGCAGCCCTAGTCTTGGTACAGATCTCAGTGACTTATATTGTGACCAGGATCGATATTGATTCCGCACGTCTCTAATCATGATGTTTTTCTCTTTTTATTACAAGATGGGTGTGTGTGGGTGTGAGTGGATGCGGGCGTGTGAATGTGATACTTCCATCGACACCCACACTCCCCATCCACACTCGCGACCAAATGTCTTCTAGAGCAATTATCCTAGATCCATCACCTTAGAAGGTCGAAACATTTGGAGGACATATTGGAGCGTAGAGTGCGAACATGCAACAGTTATTCATTTTCGAGCGGCAAAAATATAACTGGAGTTTGCAAGAGCTTATCACCCATAAAGGTTCCTTGTACTGTGATGGTTTTTCTCAAATACATTGGAGCAGATCGAAGCATCCTGTGTACAAACAACCATTCCAATATCTGTTTGTTGAAGTAACACTTCAACGAAAGAAAAGAATTTGAGATATCGTTGAGGAAAACGTTTTCTTTTTGCATGAATTTACTCTTTGAGCTCAGCGAACTTGTCGCAAACAAGGATATGTTTCGGTTTCAAGCTTGCTTAGTTTAATAGCAGATAGCCCCATATGATCCGCAGACTATGGGTGTGGATGAATAGAGGACCTACATCCGCGTAGCTTTCGCTATCTTTTCATGTCTTCTTGTTTTTACCGTCAAATATGGCAAATAATTAAATTTTCATTTATACATGCTGTAGAATAACATCAACCTGTAATGTGTGCAGCAGCAGCAGTCTCAAGTTCTGAGCGACGAAGAGTTGCCCTTGTGATCGGGAACAACAAGTATACAAAATCTCCACTGAACAATTGTGTTAATGATGCTACGGATTTGACCAACCAACTGGAAAGCGTTGGATTTCAAGTGAGCAAGCAAAAAGATGCCGATTATGAAAAAATGGATAAAGAAATATTAAAGTTTCTCAATTATATCAGACCCGATGATTTTGTCGTCTTTTTTTTTGCTGGTCATGGTGTACAATGGGAAGATCAGAACTATTTGATACCTTGTGATGACGATCGCATTATGAATCCCAACGATTTGAAATATCGAGCTATACAGGCGCAACGAATTCTTGATTTGATGTCCTATAAGAATCCTTTTGTCATTGTGTATCTTCTCGATTGTTGTCGAACCTATTGGTTACCAAACCTGGCTATAAACAGAGATGGGACTGGTACATCTAAAGGAATGGCAGGCATGTCCGCGCCAGGTGGTTCATTTATCGCTTTTGCATGTGCGGCTGGTAAAACAGCTGCGGACACAGCACCAAATGGCCGAAATGGTATTTTCACCTATCATCTCCTGCAACACATTACAAAACCAGGCGAAAACATAGCCATGATAATGACAGAAGTAACTGATGCTGTGGCAAATGACACAAGCAATAAGCAAATACCTTATACTACAAGTTCATTGCGCAGACGAGATATATATTTAGTACCTCCTAAGATGCAAAAACTAAATCCAGAGCCTGTTCAACCGACAGCTGCAATGATAGTGCCATCAAAAAAATTAGCTAGGTCAACGAATAATGGTGAGTAGCTACTAAGCTTCCATCTGTTAGACAGCTGATGACTAAACATGCACAGAGCCTGAACTTTGCAGGTTTGGTCATTCTCGGGTTCAATCGTTTCCGGATTCGATCATTTCCGGACTCGATCCTTCTCGAGTTTAGTCATTCACATTCTGTCAGCAGGTAGTGTGAGTATAGATGTGAGTGTGCGTGTGCTTGTGCATTTGGATCTTCTTTGCAGCAACACACACCATGGGACTCACATCCCTGTGTACGACCGTGTCACCACTACAACAAAACATCATTAGCCTAGTGTATGGTCTTTGTAAACTCACAGTTTAAAGCCTATTGCAAACCCTTAGTGTAATGCCATTGTGGACGAAAACAGTTAAAAGAAGATTTTCATAAAAAGCTACAGTTTCTGTGAAAAATAGTTTGGTTCGAAAACAGCTGAAAGACAATGAGATGCGGTTTCTCGTACTGATTCAAAATATACCACTATTTTCTTCTAAAAGTCCTTGGGAAATAAAGAAAAATAAGAAACGCTCTTAGAAACTAAGCTTTTTTGGAAAACATATATTTCAATTCGGTAGCATTTGTGCATAAGCAGTAGTCACGTCAGATTTTGACGAACTTTCCATCCAATATTATTCGAAATCTGAGCTGTACTAAAATGTGCGCGCTCACTTTATTGCAGACATCTCTCTGCTACGTCTCACCGAAGAAAACAATGCTAGTTATTTTTTTCGAAACAAAGGCCTTAGAAGATATTTTTATATAAACTGATAGAACGCAAATTCCTCTTTGACAAGCTGAATGATTTATTTATGGGTGTGGGTGTGGTTGAAGAGAAGACTAACGCCCACACCCATACCCTCTCTTTTGTTAAAAAGTAAATGGAAACTCACTAGACCTACACATTTATTCTGGAATAACGTATAATAAAAATTCAATATCTGAATTCGATGTGACACATTAATTCAACAGATGTAAATCAAGTGAATTCGGCTACGAGTCAAGATTGTTAGGCAATGTCAGCTATACAAATCAGGTTTCGACAGAGCACTTTTTTTGTCAATACAGATTTCTTTCTTCTGTAATAGATTATAAGCTACGTAAGGGTGTGATACAGTTTAGATCAGTATTTCGATATAATTTAAGGCAAATGATCATTACTGAAAAGGTTTTGTCTTAAAAATATTTGAATAAATTCATAATAAAAAATTAAAAAAATTTTAACATAGTTCGAAATAGAAAATTAATTGCTCTTTTCATTTGAAATTCATATTCATTTATAAAAAAAAGAAAACTATTCAAATCTTCGTATTATTTAGTTTCTTGGACATTTATTTGTAAAATATTTGAAATGAATTACAATAAAAGATTCGATTATTCATATATGGGTCATGCGTTTTTTCGATAATGTAATATATTCGGCATGACATATTCTACAGATAGTGAGACTAACGCTATCATCTGAAAAGAAAATGGTTCGCATTCCATCGAGATCATGAAAAGTTATGGTACCTTTATTAAACATAACTAAGCGTTTTAAATTTTACATTTTTCAGCAGAAATAAAAATATTCTTATATCTAAATGATTAAAGTTCATCAAGAATATGAATATCAAAAAAAAATTCGGGTCCTGCTTCCAATAAACAAAAGGTGGAGGAAACTAGATAGACTAACAAAAATCTTACATACATTGCACGAGAGAATATACTTAGCTTTTCCTAAAAGTAGTTGATCGACTGATAGTTGATGTTTCAAGATGTTGTGTCACATATTAAAGCTGAAAATAACGTTTCTGAGTTGCATGATCAGATCTAACAGTAGATTGGCTACAGTTGCTAAAAGTTCAGCTTACTCCCTCTAATATTGGATATATGAAATTTTTATTAATCTTTCGCTTCAGATGTTACAAACATATTTTATTTTTGCAAAAAAAGTGTAAGATGTAAAATGTTGAGTCATGATCAATAAAGCCACCATAACTTTTCATGATGTCCATGTGATTCGAGCTACTTTCTTTTCATATAATAGCTTTAATCTTTCAACTTTTAGGTCACCCCTTAGGATAACAATATTGTTTTCATTATCTTTCAGTGAAACCATTTGATAGGGAATCTCACTACGAGTACTTTTATTGAATGAAAATAATGAAGACAATTAAATTTTCTACGAATTGCAAAAGAATCAATGAACTACAGAAGAAATACCATCATTCTCGATGAAAGTTGATAGTAATATTCATAGAAACATGTCGCTTACTCAATGTCGACATCGACTCAGAGCATATGACTATTTTGAGGACTGCCTAGCATATCGTTGTCGCTTACAATTAAACTCTATCGTTCGATTTCGATACTCGGGAACTCATTCGAATAAGAAATCAATTTATCATTAAAGATGAAATAAAACATTGGTCAATCATGTAAATGAAGACTATCAGTGAATGTTTTTAGCGATTGGAATGAGTTAGATCATGATAGAAAGATGAAAGGTTTAAATTTTGGAAATAAAATGCTCACAAAATATGCAAATATAGGCATAGATAATTTTTGTTTGATCATTTTCTTCAACAATTATTTCAAATACGTTTGACATTTGAGTTCTTCATTGCCTTATCGTTATCTATCTATATATTTCTTAATGAAATTTGAGGATGTTTTAATATGGTAGAACATTGAAACTGAAAAAAAAGACCCGATAGAACAAATGAAAAGAAAACTTTAAGGATTCGATGTAAAAATGATGAAAACTGGTTAATATATCATTGCAAGAGCGAGCCTATGCCATCTTTTAGGTTATAATAAGTTCCATGTTCAAAAGCAAGTTACGATTCTCGTATTGCATTCATTTGTGATTAGAACTAAAATATTTGTTTCGAATGTCATTTTCACATAGCCAACGTTCTATAGGTATCAAGTACTGTAACAGAGCTCTTTGCATGGTTGAAACATGAAAAAAAATTCGTCTTGACATGTTAACTTGTTCATCTCAAAATTTATTGTTAGAAAACAGATATTTAGAATCAGAAGGAAGTTTTTCATTCCTTTACATGTCTATCCTAATAGCGTGGGCAAACCATATGAAAATTTCGTTTGAAAATTAGAATACCAGAACTTCATCTTTTTGACAAAGTTTACTAGAAAGTTATGATGTGATCGAATATGGAGTCCGATAATCAACAAAATTTCATCACGTTCATGACTTCTAAATCAAAAATACAATTATAGTATTTAAATCATGACAATGTGCATTTCTTCATTGTCATGTAATCTCTTTTAATTTTTTACACTGATGAAATGGTTAACTTTTGTTCACTCTCTATTGGACACTAGTGTAGATTCAGTTATTTGTTTAACAAACCCAGACTATACGTACATGAAGTCGTATGAAATTTGATCATTATCGCAAATATAGTCAAATATCATATTTTATCTCATAAACATAATTTTATTGAGCTTGTCTATTGATAATTGGAATGAAAATGAATTGAAATGGTTGAACATGGTAAAAAGAAAAAGACCTATTCAATTCATTTCATTTTTGATTACAATGAAGTTTAACAAACCTTTTTTGATTTGTTTGTCTTATATGAAGCCTTATCGGTTGATCTTCTCCTCTCGTTATATTGTAAGTGTGTGAGATGTGAATGAGAATGGAAATCTGTTATAGAGTACCAACAGTTGATAATTTCGAATGTTGGCTAGTTGAAAGCTCGAAGCTATACAAAATAAGAGTTGTATTTTGGCTTTTACGAAAACAGAGTTCGAACTACTAGGTGTCATCTCTCATTAGAAACACTGAACATCGAGCTTGAAATGCCTCTATGTCACTTGTTTTTTCGACTTTGTTTTAGTATTAAGAAGATCGATTGTTTTAAATTTCAATGACACAATCATATGAAACTCCTAAAAATGAATTGGTACATTTTGCTGATTGTTTTTCATCCTAGCTATATGTTAGATCAAATTAAATAGTATATTTGAAATCAACACAAAAAAAAACTACGTCAGATCAGAGATATCACAGTTTTAAAAAGTATTCATGAGAAATGGATCCCTGATGAACTAAAGGCATTGATGTATGTTCTAATATCGACTATGTTATTTATTTTACTCGAATATTGAACGATAATGATTGAGACTGCTAAGTACGATCTCTTTTATTTCTATAATAAGGAAAACTTCGATTGTCTTCAATATTTTTGTAGATCGTAGTCGAGCGATTCTAAGAAGAAAAAACGTTTAACATTTCCGTGTCTCACAAAAAACTAGAGAAATTTACAAAAGTTTCTATCAAGACAAACTCAGAAGTATGTTGGTGCTTATCTGCAATCATAATCAACAAATATGATGATTATGATTCTATTAAAATGATGCGTCTTATTAAAAAATCTCCGTGAGAAAAAATGTAAGACGAAAACATTCACTCAAGATTAGTAATTAGTAATATGACCATAGTATTTTACTACGTGCATTCTTAAGTATCTTTTTTCAGAT